CAAAGTACATGTAGTTATTGGGGAAAAAAAACTTTTACACCACAGACATATAAAAATAAACATTGAATCATCACGCTGGGAGTATTTTCTATTTTGGCCACAATGAAAGATTATTCCAAATCTAAATCTGCCAGGTATATTACTAATGCTGGGCCAGCAAGCAGAAAAACAGGAACAAGAACGTTGCTTGTCTAGGAAAAGAAATGCATCTCAGCGCAGAAGCATTTCACCAGGATGACTTTCTTTAGGAAAGATAAAACAAAGAGAGAAACCCAAAGCTCTCAATGCTTTTGAGAAAGAAACCAGGACGACATCCAAAGTTGGTGACAGTAGCAAATGCAAAGACTACATAATTAAGATAATAATAATGGGAGAGAATGGCAGACTGAGGAACAGTTTATAGCAGCATAAATATTGGCTAGGAGAGAAACTATTGTGCCAACTAAGCTGTTTATTGTGAAAGAACTCACAATAAATATGTACATGCTTCTTCTCGTTGTTTTCCCCCAGGATTAGTGACAACAGGATCGTCAGTCAGCTACATGGAATCTTACAGTCTGCAATTCAGCAAGGACAGAAAGAGCTGGAAGACTTACAAAGACACTATGAGCAAAGAAAAAAAGGTTGGTGTTCCACCATGTGTCTGACACGCAGTCAGTTCATCTGCTTGTCTTATTCATGAATACAGAGTATGGCACACGAACAAATCCAGCCTCGCAGCACCTAAATGTTACTTCCATCACAGAACTGCTAGAGACGCAAAAGTAAAACTTTTGCCAGTATAAGTCCTGCAGGGTTCTTTAACAGCTGCTGAATGTATCTTGTTTTTCCTTATTTGCTCCCAGGTGTTTCAGTCCTACACAGACGGCCACCTCAGGGTGCTCAACAGCTTGTTTCCTGCTGTCGTTGCTCGATTTGTTCGACTTCAGCCGCTAAGCTGGCACACCAGAGCTTCTGCTCGGGTTCAGCTCTTAGGCTGCCCTGCAGCCAAGGTCACGCCGAGGTCACGGCCTCCCGGAGGTGAGCACATCCTGTTTGCTCGAGGCAAATATCATCTGTTCACACAGTTACACTGATTGTCAGGTGTTACAGGCGTAAAGGTGCTGCTTCTTTTCCAGCAGAGTCTCCATTCATCAAGTTTAACGTGGATACTCTGAACCCAAGCCCCTCACCCACCCCCACTGAGAAAGCCCTGTCTGTGGAAACAACACTAAGTATGTACTTTGCATATAAATTGATTTCAGTCTGTTTCAGGAAACCTCACTCTGTCCCTTCCACACATATTCTGCTGCAGCCCACAGTCAGCCAGTGGTCATAGCAGTGGGAGTGGTCCTGGGACTGGTGATGTGTGGGTGCTGTCTACTGGCTGGGATCTGGTGGAAGCGAAGGTATTGTGCATCAATGTTGTGTTGGTTTCACTTGCACATTTTGTCCACTTTCAGACTTTCTGCAGGATTATTATTGGAATGACTCCTTCAGCTGTTTTCATTGATTTCTTACAGTTCCAGTAAGAAGATTACATAAACTCTTCAGGCATGAATAGCGTATTTTCTGGGGCTCTTAATGACTCATTTGAAAATTTCTTCTTCCAGAGTGGTTCGATAACACAAAATTAGACATAAAGGCTCAAAGATATTCATTCACTTCCAGCTAAATATGGCCATTCAAGCTGCAGAAAAACTACACTTCATAGCCATCAGTAAGCTTCTGGAAAAACTCTGGCTGAATATTTGAGCACTCTTTTTTTCTCAGAATTGATCAAGTCTTCAAAATTTTTCACATTTTTCTTACTAGGCCATGCATTTGAAGTTGCATTGAGACAATTGCAGAAACTAAATGCTAGCCTGCTTGACGCATTTTAACATCAGTTCTGCAACATATCCAGGTCTATCTGTCCAGGTAACTCTGAAACCCAAATGTTAAGAGAAGCTGCCGCAAACCTTAATATGTCATAATTTGTCTGTACAATCAGAAAGAGACTTCAGTAGTTTAACAGAAAGAAATATGGCAATTATAACTTATTTAAATCTTCTCAGTTGTATTATGTTCACAGATGAGGAATGTTTTACTACCATACTTTGTGGAAACTTGCTGAAGTCCATAAAACTTGTATCTAGTTTTAAAATACCTTCATATGTTCTCTTGTAGGAAAAAAGACTCTGTAATGAAGAACTCCTTACCCACAGGTGAGATAAGCTAATAAATGCAACATATTTCAAGTCTAGAGTCAAAAACACTGAATTTGACATTGTGTGTCTTTACATCAGTTGGCTGTCAGGCTTTTAAGGCGAAGAGTCTCCCATGTCCACAGTCAGAGCTCATCTCCTACCCACTGGTGCGAAGCGTGCACGACGCTCTGCCGAGCCCCCCTCTGAACGGTGAGAACTGAGGAGGGTTTTCTGCTCTCTTCCGTCAGCCCAGCCCTGCCACTGTCATCAGCAGTCTCTCTCAGCAGCTCCAGCCGGGCTCTCTTTGAGGCCGAACCATTCTTTGTCCTGGATCAGCGCATTGCCTGTCTCTGCATAAACATTCCTTTCTTCGGACCTCAGAGTTGCTTTGAAAGAGACCCTTTAATTGGAGCTTGATAAAGGCTGCTCCCCCCCCCCCCACCAGTCCCATCGCTGCCTCATCGAGCCCCTCGGCTTGTAATTCAGCTTTTCACTCAGATGCTCAGTGACTGAAGTGTTCATTCTGGAACATGTTAAATCTTAATTATTATCACTTGGTGAGCTTCAGAGTTAGGTCCATTTGTAGTCTGATAAGATTTCTTTTATGTAGAAAATATTTTTCCAAGCTTTTTATTTTCCCATTGCCTAAATCATAGGTGATAGGATTGTTTTTACATCAATGCAATAATTATTAATCTATTAGCAACCAGAAATATGAATTATTTGAACAATATGATACAGTTAGATATTATGAGAGCCCTAAAGAAGTCAAACTACCCTGCTTTTAAATATACTTTATGCCATAATCCATTTATTTCCTTTTTAGACTAAACCTGAAAAGTGTTACTGACGACCTCCAGGATTTACTGGTTCTGGACATGTCATCAGCACGTCCAGAACCAGTAAATCCACTCACAAACCCTGTCGTAAAACTGAGCAACGAAGCATCACTGAGCAGCTGTCCAAGATATAAAATTATGTTTTTCAATAGCTGCAAATCAAAGGACGGCTCTAAAAAGATACTTAGAGGAGGACTTATTTTTTTTAGCTCCTCTGAATCATTACATATCAGTTGAGGGTGTGTATACTACCATCTATCAAAAATGAGATAACTCGAAGGCCATAACTCTCATCCACTGCTCCTTATTAGCCTGTGTTTAAGCAGAAATACACTACTAGAGCTTTATTTGTTTCTGTACTCAATTTTATAGTTAGCTATAGAAACTATATAGTTGCCAAAGGCTTTAAATGCATCTCTGTGACGAGTGCTGAAGGCAATTCATTTTTTAATTGCATCACTGAAATAAACAATGTTTTATTCTGCTGCACCTGACAAAACAAAGTGACTTGTGACTGGGTTTTTTTCTCGTCTTCCCAGACTATGCTGCTCCTGCCGTTACATCTGCTGGACAGAAGGTCGGTTCCACATTCAGACCCTCTTCAGATGAAGGCTACACCACTCCATTCACCTGCGCCCATTACGACACGCCTGGCAACCTTCCAGAGTACGCCGAGCCGCTTCCCCCGGAGCCTGAGTACGCCACTCCATTCAGCGAGCTTCCCCCTGAGCACAAACCGCCCAGCTTGACAGGGTTTCTTCATAGCATTATGCACAGACCTGCTCATGCACCCTCCGGTCACAGTCAGTACGACTGCCCCTCACATAGGGTGCTGTTCAATGGCTACTGCACGCCTGCTCTGCACGCCAGCGGCCCTCGCCCTGCCAGTGAAGTCTACGCAGAGCCCAAGCCAAGTGACTCGTTGGTGCAAAAGCACACTTATGAGGAGCCTTTGTGAATGCAGAGAGATCAGATGTGGAGAACAGATCTTTTTGGACCAGAGGAACTCTTAGATCCTAAGAGGACACTAACCTAGAGCATGCTCAGCAGGGTGAACGTGTCAGTGAGAGATGTTCAAGGACATCAGGAGTCACTGTAGACCCCCCCCCCACACACACCCCCCACTCCCATTTTCATAGAGGATATCACGGTAAACCAGTCAGTACACAAGATCTGAGAGCCATGTTGACAAAATATTTCCTTACAGGAAGTTATGGACTTGTACAGTTTTTATTCCATAGAATGCACAAAAACTACAGGTTTGATTGCGTCTGAGACGCAGAGAGTCTACCAAACAATTACAAGCTGCACTTTCTACTGAAATGTACACATCCATCTTTTTAAAAAGGTTAAAGCAAAACAGTGGATTGATTGTTACTCGCTCATACGCTTTGTAGACTCTTGAAGAAACACTTAACTGTACACAGTTTTGGAGCTGTGACCACATATAACCACAAGGTGGCTCTTGTGAGCTTCAGATATCTAATACTGAACATGTGTAACTTTGTCTGGAAGAATAACATGTTTAAGTACTGAACACAACAAAAGGCACAAAGAAACAGGATGAAAGTGTGACGAGAAAATGAAAAGTTTCGTATACCTTCAGTGTGATTTTCATCAGGGACCTGCATCAACAAACACTCCTCGAAGAAGGAAGCACTTCTAAACTAAATTAAAAGAGGATGTCATATTAAAACTGTATACAAAACAAACTATTTTGAATTATTTGCCTTTCATATGTGCGTCACATACGGTATCTGTCATACCTCTGTGTCCACTCTTTAATTTATATAAAAATACAGCATCTAATATTTACTAAAAAGAAAAAGCAGAAAATTGCACTTTTTGAATCACATTGAATTGTATCCTTTGAATATGAATGGCAGTCTTCTAAATAAGAAGTCAGCTGTTTCTTGAATTAGCCTTTACACTGAAGCTTTTAAAAATTTTGTGTTGAATCTCCCTCACATTACAGAATAAGGCACAATTAAAAATGTTAAGAACAATACGCTGTTTTTTTGTTTTGTTTTGTTTTTGTTTTTTAAACTGGAAGAGATGGTCCTAAACCTGAAATGGAACCACACAACAAAACTAATTGGTGCTCAGCCAAATCTGCCTCATTGTGTAAATGATCTATGTGATAAAATAAAACAGGTAAATTACGTACATGCACATAGCAATGAATGAAACAAACCACAAAACGGTCGACAGATTTCGCTGCTGTGCCTCGTCGGTGCAGAGCCGTGCAAAAGTGTCCACACCTTTTGATACCTTGTCAAGAGCAGAACTCGGTAAAGCCTTTAACGGGCTTATTGGGGGTTCATGTGAGCGACCAACACTAAATAGCACATTATTGTGAAGTGGAAGGAACGTGCGTGGTTTAGCATTTTTAACTCAATAAATTCCTTTTCATCTTTTTTTTTACATCAGTCGGCATCTGTAGTCCCGGCTCTCCTTCTCAACAATATTTCCTTCTGCAGCAGTAACTTCTTTTGAAATACGATTATTAATCGGTAAATCTGGTGCTTGATGAACTGCCTATGAATGTGCCTTTACCCATAACGGACAGAAAAAAGCTAGCTAACCAACTAGTTAGATATATCTTATGCTATGACTATATACCTTATAATAATGAGCTGCAAGTAGCAGCTTGTTAGCGGTAGCATGATTAGCTTTGATTCACATAACGCAATGTACTCCAACCCCAATGGGATAAGCGTGTAAGAAAATGGATGGATGGACAGATATATCCATTTACCTTCACTTTCTTTTCATGCAACAGTTTGGGTTGGCCTTTGAAAACAAAATCCCCCCCAAAAAACCACTGCATTGGGGTTGTAATTTGGCAAAATTGGGAAAAACTTCCAAGAACGTCAATACTTTTGCAAGGCACAGACACCAACATTAATGAGCTTTCACTCGTTTTGATTCTGAACATTTTCACTCCTTTGTCCCAGATTCTCCTCCTCCACCCGGCTGTCGTGCGAGTAATGCACCAGGGTCTGATGTCGATTCCTAGTCGGGGCGTCTTTAAAACGCAGACCGCAATCCTCGCAGGCATAGGGCAACTCCTCTCTGCTGCTGCCTGCTCCTTCTGCTGGTGACCTGCTCTCATTTCCACTGGTTGTGATCCTCCCATGGTTAGTAGGAATCAGTTCTGTGGAACTGAGAGGATCTGAAGCTGAAGCTGAAGCCCTGTCCGTCACAGGTCCACCGCTGGTCGAAGGCAGAGTTCTTGGGCGCCCCGGAGAGCATCCCGTTGCTTTGGGTCTCGCCTCCCCGTCATGTTCAGCTGTCAGGCAGTGAACTGTGCGATAGTGGAAGCGGATCCCGGAGCGATTGGAAAAGCCCCTCCCACAGAGGCTGCAGACGAAGGGCCTCTCTCCTGTGTGGATGCGGGTGTGGATCTTAAGAGCTCCTGACTGAGTAAAGCACTTCCCACACAGGGCACAGCTGTAGGGCTTCTCCCCTGTGTGAGTCCGCAGGTGAGCCCGCACCCCTGCAAGATGGGGAAACCCCCTGCCGCAAAAGTCGCAGGAATACGGTCTTTCACCTGTGTGAATCCTCTTGTGGATCTTCAGAGCTCCTGACTGGCTGAAACTCTTCCCGCAGTCAGTGCAGGAATACGGCCGGGCGCCGGTGTGCACGTTCAGGTGAATACGGAGGTTGCTGTGCGAGTTGAAGGCTCGGCCGCACTCCGTGCAGAGGAAGCCTGACTGCTTATGGGCGTGCTCGGAGCGCTGGTGCTGCAGCAGCTGAGACGGTCTGGAAAAAGAGGCGGGGCAGTGCATGCAGGGATGCAGAGACAGAAGGGGTCTTCCTCGTTCCTCTTGCTGCTGCTGGGCTTCTCTGTGCTGATGGCGGCAGACCTGAGGACAGGTGGGGAGCGAGCATCGGCAGGACAGGCAGGGAATGACGGCAGACAGCTGTGCAGAGTGGGCCAGCTGAGGGCAGGGAACGCACGACGATATGGGGCAGTGGTGGTGATGGAAGTGATGGTGGGCGTGGGTGTGGGAAAAGGGGGAGTCTGCGCTGTCCTGACTGTTCATGAGGTGAGCACCGGTTTGTACTCCTCGGTGGCAACAGAAGCAGGGAATCATGGAGAGATGAGCCAAAGAGCCTGCTGAGGCTCTTAAGGGAGTGTCGAGGTTTTGGTTCTGGGTCCCTCTGTCCGCGTTGTTGGTCTGTGGTCGGTCGGACGGCCTGGACTCCTGCTCCGACGCGGCGCCGGTGGTGTCCGGAGAGCACAGGTTCATGCTCAGGTCTTTGGGCTGGCATGAAGCTTGAGCCAATAGAGATGAGGACAGCGACTGTCGGGGTGTTAAAGTTTCAAAGGAGGATGAGGAGCTAAAGAAAGGACATCCGGGGCAGGTGCAGCCATGATGCTCATCCAAACCTTTGGAGCAAAAAGAAAAAAAAGTGTTACATATTTTTTAAATCAAAACTAAAAATCATAAACAAGGAAGATCAACATCTACTGAGATGTGGAACAAGAGATGGTGCAGCGCTTGCGATATTTGAGATCGCCAGGAAAGATGTGTTTAAAAAATTTTATTTACTTTGTAATTTCAGTATATTTATTCAATTGGTATTAAAACTTCCTTTCAAATAAAAGCACCATGTATTTAAACTTTTTACATCAATAAAAGTAATCCACTAATGGTTGTACCCTTGGTAAAAAAATAAATAAAAAATTAAATAAGTGGACTTGGTATTTATAATAAAAGATGAATTTTAAAAACATGCATATTAAGCATCGTGGAGGAAGTGTCATGCTGTGGGCCTGTTTCTTTTCCTAATGCTTTGGGAACATGGCATCATAATTTTTTAACATATAGCAAAATTATTTACTAGACCAAAAAAATAAAAGATCTGCCTTTTTGAATTTTTCCCAGTGGCACTTCTTCTGCTGTAATAACCAGAAAATGTACACATCTGTACCAATGTGCAATGAATTCAACAGAAGAATCACAAAAGCAGAAGTTTCTCTTGCATCAAAATATACACTACAGCTACTTTGAAAAAAAAAACATTGTGCAGCTCTATGTAGTGCTACACAATAAAAACAATTTCAAACATTTATTTAAATTCATAAAATGTCAGTAGAAACAATAATTGTAGACTTTCAATTTTAATAACGCAGACAATTCATGTGGGCTGACAGACACTATGTGGGGGGTCGTAATTATTTGAACATGTTTATAAATTGGGGAAAAGATTGCAGCAGATACTGAAAAAAATATTGTAATAATTTTGTTTGTCCATGTCATCAAGCTCTCGCTGTATCCACAGGCAACTTCTTGACATCTTATTCATCTGCAATGGACTTTCATCTCCAGATAAGTGAACACTTTCATTTCTAAGGTAAACATTGTGTATATCTTAACACAGATGTCTCACAGGGAGACTCTTCCATTACAGATAACCACTGTTTTATAGATTTATATCAATTATATCAAAGATAGAGAAATGTGCTAATTTAGGTTGGATTTTTTTTGTGTGTGTGTTTTTGTTTGTCTTTCCATTCAGTTTTAAACTACTAAAACTATATTAGACATTTAATAAATGCCATGTTAATCAATAAACTTGGTTACATTTTCACCATCTGGAGACTTTAAAACGAGAGACATGGAATTGATTATACTTTAAAGCACAGATAGTAATGCTGGGGAAAGGAGGTTGCTTTGATTGCATGCTGAAACATCCTGCCACATGTGATGCCACCTTCTGCCCCGTCTCTGGCCTCTCCCCTCCGGTGTGTTGCCCCGGCGTGGACCGGCCTGCCCGGGGCCGCCTCTCTCCTCTCCTGGACCGGCTGCAGGGGCTGCAGCGAGGACGCTTTGAATCCGAAGGGAGCCCCGGCAGCAACAGCTGTCGCCCCCCATGCTGCGTTTCTCACGTCCGGCGAGTTTTTGGACTGGCTTCCGGACGAGAGGAGGTCGCTGATGTACTGGTGCATCTCCATCCAGGAGCACTGGGCGTGCTGCGACACGTAAATAAAAGAGCAGAAGGAGCCGTGGCCGGAACCGTGACGTCCTCTTTAACCGAGGCCTTTTACGTATGCAGCTTTCAACCCATGTTACTGAGCGAACAGCTTACTCACATTGTCGCTGCTCTTGTCTTTGTCCATACTTTACAACGCCGGCGAAAGAGGGACCAACGAAAAACAACAATAAAATAAATAAACACACGTTTTGACATCAACACACCCAGTCGGACCATCTGCTTCCGGGTTAATGAAACACGTGCAAACACACGTGACGCCTCCCGGACCTCGCCGGGACTTGTTTTGCCTAAATGTATCCCTCCGCTACAATCATAGAGGAGGACTACTTGTCACCAGAGAGAATATGGATTTTTTGGTTTGTTTGTTTTTCGTTTTATCACGTTAAACGTACAAAGTTAAAGGATGCTATTTTTTTTGTAGCATTGCTGTGGACATGATGCGGCTTTGAAAGGGACTATGATCATCAACTCTCACATCTTGCAGACTATATCAATTCAAGCGTGAACTTTGACTGGACCATTCCAACTCACAAATAAGCTCTGATTTAAGGAGTTCCATTTAAACTCTTTTTTTTAGCTTCTTGCTGGAGGACGAGAGAAGGGGTTCAGTGTTGTTGACCCTTGTTCAGCTGCATCCATCTTCAAACCAATCATCTCTACAGCCTCATACAGCCACGTTGCACCTTGTGGATGGACGTTCTTTAAATTTAAACTGGAGAAACAGAAGGGAAGGAGACTGAAGACCATGTTATATCTTTGAGCTTGAGTTCATGAAGTCTGTCGCTAAATTAACTTGCTGTCATCTTAAGATTACCAGAAGAAAAGGATTCCTGTCCAAACAGGACACACAAACAGAGGTTTTGCTTGTCGTTTATCCACCATGCAGACCCAATCGGTGGGCACTATCAAAACTTTAAACGTTTTGGTCTTTCCTCTGACGTCGATGTGCGTCACCTCACCCGTGATACACATGGTGCAGAAATCAGCAGACAGTATTTGTGGGAACAAACTCGATCGTAACACGACACAAACGGGATCTCGCTTAAAAAAAAACAAATATTTATTCGCCTTTGAAAAACAGCACAACTGAATTATACACAACACAGTGAATGTAAACCTCAAGTTGGCCAAACACCAGTACCGTCTTGTAGCATGTTAAATACTGAAATGTTTGCGGTCAAAAATAAAATAAAAGTACACACAAACACTGGAAAATTTTGATTTCCCACACAAATATACAGTAAAAGAATCAAGGTTTTCAGGCGCCGACAGAAATTCAACGTAACTCTGCATTCTCTCCACACATCTCATCCAGAAGACACATTCAAACAGAAAGATGCACATCAGTGGAATGTCTTGTTGACTCTAAACAGAAAACAGGCCCCTGTTTTTTTCCCCATTTATTGCCAGATTTCTATCCCAACAAACTGAAGGAATCATAATAAGAAATAAGACAGGTTATCATAAATCTGTATGATAGATATCATATTTCCTGTTTCGTGTAATATTTCAAGTGCACACGTTGTTACTACTGGGAATACAATATAAGTGCCATTTATAATTCCTGTCTAAAATTATTGCAAAATACGATGCATTTTCTTTGCAGGGTGAGTTTTTGTTTTTTTTTTCCTCTGATGAATCAGGCCAGGCCGAGATTTAAATGTCCATTTCCATTTTGATGTTTTTCTCTAGTTTACAGTCTATCAGCTGGCTGCATGTGGAGGACCACACGTCAACACCAGGACCAGGAGAGAGAGGAGCTTTCTTCACCTCCAGTCCAGGAGGAGGTGATGCTGTGTAAGCACCGAGAGGAGAGTCAACCGCGGGCTCCAGCTTGCATCTCTTTGCCCCGCCGCATGTGTCCAGCTGCCCCTCCGTTTCGTGTCTTTTCCCTCGCTTTTCTGAATCGTTAGCCTGCGCTGAGATTTCGTACTCGCTCTGCTCGCTCTTGACTGAAACAAAAGCAGTGTCTTTAGGCATGTTTAGCTTTTTGGACAAATCCAAAGGCGTTTCTGTTTCCTGCCCCAGGAAGCCTGCGACCAACTCCAGGCAGGGGTTGAGCGACGCTCCGACAGCAGCGCTCGCTCCCAGCAGCTCGTTGCTGGACGACTCCCGAGGCAGAGCCTGGACGGCGGCGACTGGTACTGTCTGTGGGACCCCGGGTGGCAGCCCGTCGGTTTGACTCGGACAGACGGGGAGAAACACGACCAGGTTCATACCGGGAGGCGGCTTCTCGTCGAGAGTTAGTGTCCACAGTCCCTCTGAGTCAGAGGACGCGGCCTCTGTCCTTAGCAGCCTGGGATCCTTCACTGGCGCTGCAGCGCTGTTCGAGGCGACGTTAGAACCGGGGGCTATGTTGGATGCAGAGGTTGCTTTTGTGCCTTTCTTTAGACCTTTTTTCCCAGGGAGCGAGCTCTTTGGGGTATGACGTTTCTTAGAAACACTCTGCAACAAGCAAACCAAAATCATAAAAAAATTAGCATTTTTTAAAAAATCACTCAGTGGTAATAGAGAGAAGCTAAATTGTTTAAGTCACTATGAGGCATGTTGGTCTGTGCAAGTTAAGAGTATATATTCATATATACACTTGGCCATTTATTTTTCTGTCAGAAGAGAAATTTGATATTAAAATTGTTTTAGTTTTCTTTTTAGTGGTCAAAAATGTAGATGATGTTTTAATGTTTACAATAATAAAAACAACATGCTGAGCAAACAGAAATAAAAAATAAAAAAAGCTGGCCAGTTTTCTCATATTCTGGCACTCTACATCTCACCAGGCTGTCCGACATATTTAACGAGTCGTTTTTTTGTTTGTTTTTTTCATTGGTATCCAGATATATGCGTCTGGTTTGCAGATGCATATTAAAAGACACATTTTAAAACTGTGTGTCCTAAACTCTCCAAGGCAAAGTCAGATACCGTACAAAAGACGGATTAAATCAAGATCTTCATGTGGAATCTGGAAATATAAAACGAAGACGCGAGTGAGCAGAAACGATTAGATATTACTCAATAAAAGACAGTTTTTCACCGTGTCATGTTTTTCCCAAAACTGTCTTGAACTCTTTTCTGTTAATAGTAATAAGTATTTCTTGTGACAGACCAGAACAAAGCAGGGCATAATTATTAAGTGGAAGGAAAATGACACATAGTTTTGAAAACGTTCCCCATAAATTGCCCTTACAAATCAGGTAAGAGCAACCTAAACTGAATGGGCAACACAGAACCAGTCAGCAGGCCCAAAGAGGAGCAGCAGCAATTTATGGCGCATGGAAAATAATCTGTTGACAAATATGAGCCAAGCACTAAACAAACCTGGTCAGTGTTACAAAGTGCCAAAAAGGAAACAATTTCTGAAAATGAGCCAGTTACATACTCAAAAGATGTGTAGAGTTTATTGGTGTGAAAACTGGATCCACAAAGTTTGAATTCAGGGCGGCTGCAAACACACACAACACTTTTTTACAAATTCTGTTAAAAATGTTCAAACCAAATATCATTTCTTATAGATTTTGCAAAGTGTTGCGTTGGTCTGTTAATCTTAATAAACCACACTATAGTGTGTGGTTGTAATGAGGCCAGAAGGATGGATGAATGACAGAGTGATATTTACAGGTCCCATTCTGGAAGCCAAGTCGTCAGACAGCAGTGGCTTTATGTGAAACCGATTTTAGAGAAAAAGTAGAAGCTGGCACTGCCAGTCACATGAACTGAATCCTGCAGAAAATCTATGAAAGGAAGGAACTAAAGGTTAAAGTTCATAGAAGAAGCCCACAGATTTAGGATTTAAAAACTACTGTTGTTGAAAAATGGGTGAAAATCACACTTAGGTGGTGAATATTTCTAGTTCCTCCAACAAAGACTTTAGAAAAAAGTATGAAATAAATTTCAGTAAGGGTTTCACTATTTTTCCCTGTTTCATTTTATGTATTAAACATTGTTCATGCACATCTGGATCAGCTGTTACAGACATCTGATGAGGATTTTATGTCCAATTTAGAAGTACGCTCATTTAAACTGGTAATGAGTTTAATACTTATTTCACCTGCTTTATTTATCAACCTAGGTAAAATATACAAGGTCTAATATTTTGCCTTTTTTCAGTTTTAAAGAATTATTTTTTGAGCATCACAGTTTAACTTTTACAAGCTGAAGGATGAGAATTGAAAGCCTCTCTTCCAAACCTTAATGAATAAAATTAGGATTAAGACAACATCCTACATGTACAAGAGTTACATTATTTTAATTCCTTTTTAAAGCTCGATTACCAAAAACTGATGAGAATGCAGGTACACCAGATTGATTCTTTAGAAGTCGTTCACTTACTGCCGATGGAGGAGTCTTTCCGCATGTTTTGAGGTGGATGTCATAGTTTTGCTGGTGAGGGAAGCCCAGCCCGCAGCTCTGACAGAAGCAGGGCGACTGCCCGGCGTGACCGCCCATGTGGGACATCAACAGCAAGGCCGAGCGAAAGCCCTTCCCGCACTCCGCGCACTTCAGCACCCTCTGGTGAGCGCCGGCGTGCTTCTTCAGCTCGTCCGAGGTGTCAAACCTTTGGCCGCACTCCAGACAGCGGATCTCGTCCGTTTTCTGGTTGGGCTCCTGATTCCCCCAGCAGCCAGTGTCCTTTTTGTGCCGCTGGAAGTCCTCCTGACTGGGAAACTCTCGCAGGCACGCCACACAGTGAATGCGCTCGGGCTCGCACTTGTGTTGCCGGTACAACTTGGCCAGCCGGAAATGGCAGCGGCACCGTATGCACGTGTAAGGCAGCAAGCCGAGGTGCGAGAAGCTGTGCTTCAGCAGAGCGTTCTTCTTGGTGAACGTCTGCCCGCAGTCCGTGCACTTGAAGCTGTGAAGGCACCTCTGCTTCTTGTGCCGTGCCAGAGACTTCTCGGTGCGGAAGCTGCGGCCGCACGTCTCGCACACGATGTTGACCATGCACTTGTGCAACTGGACGTGGTTCTCACACTCCTTCAGCGAGGCAAACACGCGCTTGCACAGGTCGCACTCATAGAACTGCTCCTCGAAGTGCGTCCTGGACAGGTGCCGCTTCAGGTCCTCCTGCGAGGAGAAGCCGGTCAGACAGATGCGGCACCAGTGGCGCTCCAGTTTGGCCTTGGCGTGCGTGCGCAGGTGGAGCCGGTAGTTGTAGATCTGACAGAAGCGCTTCCCGCACTCGGCGCAGCAGTACGGACGCGCTCCCGTGTGCAGGTTCATGTGGTCCTGGAGTTTAAACTTGGAGGGCAGCTGGAGGCCGCAGACGCTGCAGCGGTGGTCACCAGAGATGCTCTGCTCTGTGGGGAAATACAGAGAGGAAAGCAGCTGAAGAACAATGAACAAATCAAATGCATT